AGTGAAGAACACAAATATTGAGTGAGAATTACCCAAAAAACTAATTTACTGATATTTAATTTATTTGTATCAATTAGCCCTAAAAAACAGTTATATTTTGCTTTCAAACACATCAGTGTGATGACTCATACGCTCATTTTACGGCTGCTTCATGAGCGATGTGTAGATTTCATGCAACTGAGGGCAAAATGTGACAATCACATAAAAATGTCACAAACAGTGAAAAGGCTGCTTAAAGGGTTAGTTTAAAGGGAAAAGGCTGCTTAAGGGGTAGTTTCATCATTTACTCTCATTTACTCTCCCTCATGTCGCTCCAAACCCGTTATGGTGCGTTCACACCAGGCGCGAATAGAGTGTCTGCCACAAGTGATTTCAATGTTAAGTCAATGCAAACAAGCGTACACGCACATCATTTTATTGCATTTCATTTTATTTACTTATTAAGTGCTTTTTGTGCATTCACTCATTTGACGCGAATTCACATCTGCCACAAGTTGAAAAATCTGAACTTTGCCGTAAATTCGCGCCGCATTAACCTATCAGGAGCCTAGCTGCTTGCTACAGTCACGTAGTGAAGTATGTGGATGCTACAATAAATTATTTTGTAAAATGACTAAATGCCTGGTGTGGTTTTAATGCACAACAAAGCAAATATTTTATCACATAAAACTTGATTTTTATAATATGACACATATTCATTTTGTATTGAATGCTATTTATTCCATATCTAGATTATATTATAATGTAAAGACAACCAACATACTATAGTGCATAAGTCTGGACAGTGTTGTGTGTGAGAAAAAAAAATAATAATTCACAGGACAGGTTAATCACTTTTGGAGGCTGGCTCCACTTATCATCAAAACAAAAATAAACAACAGATTAGGTGGATGAGGGCGAGGGTGATGCGGGACAACAGGTCATAAAACTGGGTGCGGGACAGGTGGAAGTACTGCTGAAAGTACTGGACTGTCATCCAGGCGCAGATCCTCCTGAAGCGAGCAAATGGTGAAACTCGCCAAACTGGGTTCACCTCCGAAGGGTTTGGTGGACCCAAATACGTACGCCACCGTCCTGCTATCCATTTACATATACACATTTATTCATTTAGCTGACACTTTTATCCAAAGCGACTTACAATTGCTATACGTGTCAGAGGTCGCACGCCTCTTGAGCAACTAGGGGTTAAGCGTCTTGCTCAGGGACACATTGGATTCAAACCCAGGTCTCTCACATCAAAGGCATGTGTCTTATCCACTGCACCATCACCACCCCCTATCCAGAGCAAATACAGAGCGGTGACTCTCGAATGCTTGATCAACAAAAAACAGATGGCCGCCAAAGGGTTTGATTCCAACGAAATAAATTTCACTTTAAACTTTCATTTTTTTGTTTGATGCGCGAATGGATTCAAAGTGTTCAAGCATATAACTAGGCACAAATTTGGCACGCTACTCGTGTCTGGTGTGAACGCACAGTAAGACCTTCTTTCATCTTCAGAAAACAAAAAGATATTTTTGATGAAATCAGGTTTCATTCTAACCCACCATAAACTGCAAAGTCATTGCAACTTCCAAGGCTCATAAAGACATCAGACATGTAATAAAGACATCATTAATATAGTTCATGTGACTCCATAGTTCATGTGACTTCAACCGTAATGTTATGAAGTGATGAGAATTGCAAAAGCCCCCAAAAATAATGACTTTATTCAACCATCTCTTGTCTTCCACGTCGTTTACCTACGCTGTTGACGCATTGTAAAGAGTGCAGCGCTTCCTGATTTAAAGTCAAAACGCCGGCTAACTATTAGATGGCTCCTGCGTCAGCATCACATGCATGTGTCCTGGTGCTCAAGTGACCAGCGTCGGCCAATAGTGAGCCAGCGTTCTGACGTACAAACAGAAAGTGCTGCACTATTAACACTAAGCAATTAATGACAGAAATTTAATTTATTGGGTGAACTAACTTTAAAATGTGATAATGGTATAGTTCTCATTGTACTGGCCAAATATAGACGTGCAAACGCACAATTTTAGCTACAATGTTTGACACTTTTTTACCTTTAATAATCAAGCAATTCAATTATACAAGATAGTATATGGTTTCAAAAAATCATAAACGACATGCCACGTCTGACTGTATAGTAACCCTTTCCATCTTCAATAATGGCTGCAACAATTTTTATTTGTCCCAAATAAATTTCACTAGTTTATTTCCAACTTTTCAAGTCTCAAAGCATACTGAGAGACAACAGCTAGAGTTTGTTTGTTCTATAAGGAAGGGCCCTGTAACATACAATTGACTCATCTCATTGGGAATACCCGACTCAAATTACAAACATTGTATGGTGTCCCTTTAGATTTAGACACTATTTTTGACAAAGCAAACACGACCAATTTTATAAGGTTAATGTTGTTCAAGATTTAACTCTTTTTTTTTTATTCTCATACACAAAGTGCATTGTTTTCTGCATCTCAGCAAAAGTGATGGGTTTGATCTTGCACTGCACTTTGAATAAACACATGCCTTTGAGAGATTAAAAAAGTGTCCTGCTCCTGCCTCAAATTATACCCCTATCAGACAGAAAACAAGAAGGTCAGGAGAATTTGAATCAGTGTGGCTGAAAAGTCTCAATTGTCAGTCCGTGAAACGCATGACCGCAGCTGTGGAACAAAAACAGGTGTGGAATATATTGCATTCCCAAGAGCCTGAAAGACAAGGCCAATAAACAAGACGGTTGACTTGTTAAAGCCATCAAAAGCACAAGAAAACCTGAAGGAGACAACCCCAACACCAGTTATTTGGAATTATTTACCAAAATAACAGTGAACAACCGGTGCTCATGTCCCATACCAAAATGAAGAAGGCGTTGCTGAATACATCAAGTGAGCAGATAATGTAAAAACCTGAATGACAAGATTATAATCAAAGCACGATCGTGTCTCTAATCTAAAATTCTGAGATCCTTTCGTGTTTATATGCTACAGATAAACTCGAATCGACCTCAGAGGTTTCGGTATTTTTAGAGAGCATAGTCATAGTGCTCTGGTTTTAAAAAATACGTATTGTCCACTTCTTTAAATGATCTGACACTTGTTAAATATCACTCTAACATCACTCTTAATTTAGTAATGATATGTGCAATTGGGCTTCTTACCTCTCTTGATGGTTCTCGGGTCCAGGTGGCTCGTTTTAAGCAGCTAACCTTGTACTTGCAGGCGACCCAGCTATCCAGCTAACTCAAACGCTTCACTTACGGACTATTTAAACCGGTCTAAGCTTTCGAATACAATCCGCGTGTGAATGGTGAGGATTTTTCCAACTGAAGAAACACCAAAATCCCCGTTTATGAGATAATTATCAAGCCGCCTGAAGGTATGTCAGCATTGCACTGCTAGCAGGAGCTCCCCGTACAGCTAATCCCTGTAGCTGCCGTCCCAGCCTGCACCAAAAGCCACATTCATACACATTCGCTGACCGACTACATACCCAGATGTTGGTCACTGAGGTCAGATTGTCCTTCTCCTTATTACTAACCTCACTCAAATAGCGACTAATTGCTAACCTGTTATCACAAGTAAATGTTAGCAGGCTGTGCTAGTGCTCTGTGCCAATTTTTTTTTTTCTGGCTCAAAACAGACCGCTAAACCTAGATTGATGCAACGCTAGTTTGTGCTATTAAGCCAATGATTGGCCAGTTTCTGCACAAACAACGTGTGGATTGGTTCCTGGAGTTGTCAATCAAAAACATTGTTGGTTACGCCTAGAAAGTCAAACGTCATTGATGTCGAGGAGCTATGGCGTTAGGTTGCGGCGTAAATGTCTGAGATGGAGATTGGATGAAGGCAAGGACCTGAAATGCCCGTATGGCAAGAAATGTCACCCTAGCTGCGGTCCGCATGCTCTGTTTATCTTAAATTAGGTACATTACAACAAATTAATTATGCTTATTAGGAAGCCGTAATTAGATAAACGATTCCAAGGTTTTCTATTCTTAGAAAATTATTTGAGGGATGTTTTACTCTCTTCAATTACGGAGTCCTCACTTTGAACACGATGTTACATAACACGAATGACACTGACCAGTGATGATGTTTCTCCTCGTTCATTTATTCATCTCCATCTATTCGTTCTCGTTTCTTCACTCAACTGAGTGTGTTCATTGAGTTCATCACAGTTGCCACGTTGTTTTATAGGCTACATAGCTTTCAATTACTTCTTCTTTTCTTTATTTTTAACTAAAATATTATTATAAAAAGAAGATTTATGAAATAGTTGTAGTCTTATTAGTTGTCAGGGGATTTTTAATTAAATACAATACGGCTTAATTTGGTCGTGACTCGGTATGTTAAGGAAACATTTGAGTGAGATTCACTCATTACACAAAGTATTCTCATACTGGTGTAATCAAACAGTGTACGAATCACCAAACGAATCGTTTGGTGAAAGATGATAGCCTACTGAATCAAAATCCCACGACTAAGTGCATTTTAATGTCCGTTCTTATGAAGATTGGAAGATTATTTTTTTTTTTAGCAGTTAACCACACTATTACATGATAATTACATTAATATTTAAATTTTTAGAACTGGAGAAAAGTTTAACAAAACAGTCAATTCCACTGTTCGTTGCGATGCACTTTGTATTTATAACCACAGGATGGCGATAAAGTACCTTAACATTAAGGCTGGCCTTCTCTGTGTGAAGGTTCAGTGAGATGAACTCAATGAACGCGGTTTGACAAAATATGAAAACTGTTCAAAAATCTTCCCTGGTAGATTACAAATAGTTTACTTTGTCAGATTTTATAAGTCTAAATATTCCATGTCTCATTATGTCCTTATTATTATTATTATTTTTTTTTTTAGAATTGGAAAAACGTTATATAAAATTAGTTGCCTAGCACATCATGTCACACTACTGACGTCAATGCTTGACATTTCATGCTAACTACACTCCAAATAAATGGGATTTAATTTTATTTTTTTATTCTGCAGTGAATGTGTAAAAACAACACAGTCAGTTAATAGTGAATGTGGAAAAATACAACCCGAGCTAGCCTAAATATGTGCGTATTGTAGCAAGACCCTGAGTGTGGAAATACAGCAGGAAATAAGCAAGGTCCTCTATAACTTACACACCGGTTAAAATGAATACATCATGCAGTAAGTAGACCTTTGTCCAGAGAACTGACAAATTGAGAAACAAACTCAAGCACACACATTTAGACTGATAAGGGGTAAACACACTGTTGTAGGTGCATTGAGTTGGCTCTAATCAAAAAGCCATTTTTCACAAACATCATGCTGTAATTAATCACACAAAACGCTCATTTATCTCTTTGTAATGGAACTATTCAATTTTTAAAAAAAAAAAGAATTTCAGATGACAAGAACACAAATACAGTGGTAATTTATACTAGTTTCTATTCACTGTCATTACACAAAATGATAAGAGCATTGCAGACGAGGAGCCAGAGATTACAGATACAGTACATTTGTGAGTTTAAATGACCATGAACAGGCTCAAAGTATACCGTACAAGCTTCATTCATAATGCAGTTACTTTTTTCATCTGGCCTTCTGTGATGCCCACTTCAGCTCAGCGCACTGTATAAAGATGACCGTAGAAAATGCTTATTCAGTTATGGCACATTTACCATATAAGCATAACTGATGACAATTGAATATATGCTCAACTGTTTCCTTTATACTGGTGCACATTTAATTGTTTACTAATTTGTCACCATCCAAATACGTTACCAGAAACCTGGTAATAAATTCCACATAATGTACATTTAAAAAAAAAAGTGAAAGGAAAAGCTATCAATTACCAATTACCTTACATAACCAACAATGTCTTTTTGCAAATAAACATTAAGGACGTGTTCACAGAAAGACAGCTGTGGTGTCCTGTGCCTAGTTAGAGAATAAAGTTGCCCTGAAAACAAGGACGCAAGGCACTGGGGTTTCTGAGCAGAGAGCAATGAATGTATATCAGCGATCTGTCCTCCATTGGCTTTACAACATTTTCTTGTGAAACTGAACACACTAATAAAACAACTGCAAGTACAGAGTACTAGTTCACTGACAGACAACATATAAACTACCTAGGTTAATACTGACAACTTGTTATCTGAAAATACACATTACCATGATGACCATAATCATATTTAAACGGTTAAAAATGCAGAAGTGAAGAAAGCAGGGAAGTTCAGTCGATCCATTTAATAAAACCACACTGAGTGCTTTTCTGGAGAAACAAGAATTTCAATGCATCTTCTCCAAACTGCTGACATCATGGAACAATCCGGATGTCTTAAAGCAGTCATGCAGAACATCTGCGACAATCTGAAAACACGTGACAGCTCTGAATTTGAATGACTCGATTTAGCCTAATGTTACGAAAAGGGAAAGTTCAATAAAAAATGCTAAATTATATATATATATATATAATTTTAATGCCATAATGAAAGTGGATGGGGTTACATTTTTGTTTTTTCGTGCACATTTGTCTTTGTTTGTTGTATTTTATGTCCATATAATGACAGTGAATTGTGTCCAAAAACTGGACCATGTTCCACAGGTTTGTGATGATGAATAAATCATTACATGAATTTTCATTTTAGGGTGAACTAATGAAAGAAAACTGAAAAATACTACAATGGAAAATGCTACAAAAGTCTACTTGCAAGTTGCAATTATTTGTTTAAACTAAAACTAGTACAATTTGCTTGAGTTGACTGAGCTATTCACACACACTGCATAAATAATATTACTCATTGTAGTAATACCTGAAAACATATCTGATGTGTATAAATAATATACTGACAATGACAGAATGTTTAGAGATATGTGGCTTTCATATTCAGAGCAGTATTTTCCCAGCTTGGGTTTTAGAGCAACACATCCACAGGAAGTTCATGTATTCAGTATTCATACTGACAGGAAGTTCCTCCCCTCACCTCTTATTGTGAGCCCCGAGTTCAACACGTTTTAAATAAGAACAGAAATTTCTACACCTCTCAGAATTTGGAGTGTCTTTCCTGAACCGTTGAATGAACCACTGGGATCACAACATTGAATGGATCCACAGAAGAAACAAGCCCTGGGATAAATGATAAATGACATATTGTTATATGAGAGTGTGCCCTTGAGGGAAAACCATGACAAGGATACAAATGTCTGTCAAGGGTAGTCACTCAGGTTAGTTCATTTCCGAAGAATGAAAACTGCAGATTCTGTATATAGTGAGAAACATTCCTGCGTATTAGATTTAGGGTGGGCGGGTGTCAGTCAGCTGAGGAGAAATAACTGAAGACAAATGCAGGAAACATTTGAGACCTTTCTGAGAATGGCTTATAAACATCAATGTTAAAGACTTAGAACAGGTCACATGCACTCACTTAAAAAAACTGCAGACTGATCTCTCACAGATGACAACAAATGTTCCTAAAAACCCTGCTAATAAAATCTTAATCTAAGGTCAAACAAAACAAGTGAAATAAATTATCTTGGAAATGGAGCTGGTGATATTATCAACATCATGAACCTCATTCGTGTTTGCACCCAAAAGGCTGTTTGGACCATGACTAGTCCAGGTCAGGTATAGATTTTAGCTATAGGATAAAAAAAACACGGATAATAACTAGGATGAAGTGGGGATTTTCTTCAGGATAAGCCAAGGAAGCTAAAGAGAAGTGGGACCAGGAACACGCAGCAGTAGGCCACTGTGCCATAAACAATAAACCGATATGCGAGTTCCACTTGCGCATGTTGTCTAGCCTTCCGCACGTCATCCGAAGGCACGCCGAAGATCTTGCACGCCAATGGGATCGCCACAACCTTCATGGCAGCCCTGACGGCCAGAAGCACCGCCACTCCCACCAGAAGTCGCAAGATGGAGCGGGCCAATAGGGCCCTGTCGATCAGGGGAAGGGTGAGCGGTAGAGCTTCTTCGGGAGGATCTGGCAGCAGACCCAGTTGGTAGTTCAGACGAGATGCCAACGCGGCTCCGACAGCTGTGGCCAACGCCTGGGCCGTGTCGCCACGAGACGTGCTCCATGAGTCCAGCGAGAAAGCCACAAAGCTGAAGCCAACGTGCACTAGCAGGGCGACCAGAGGGGCATAGCTGTGGGACAGGTAGAACGTGTCAATGTCATCCAGTAGGGGGTGAAGGACCGCCAGGATGAGCACACTGTAGAGGAAGCCTGTGATCACCTCCTGTAAAGATGAAGGCCAAACTAATTAGAAAGAAAAATCATGAATGGTCCTTGGGTTATGATCCAAATCAAGTCAAAAGTTGTTCTGATTTTGCTGACACATGCTGCAATGCTGGCATTTCTCATTGTTTATTACAACTGGTGGCCAGGCAAACATATGGAGGTCAGTGAAAACATGGAACAGGAAACGTGTGCGGAATTAACTGGGACATTCATAGTTTACAAGAACATTAATCCTGAAATGAAAAATTGCAGTGAATTCTACAATAACACGAAACAGACCTGAGAACAAGCTGAAATGTATAGCATATTTTGTAGATCTGATTAAAAGGTACCATTTATTTAGGATTTACACTAACGTCAGCTGCTTTATTTTGTGGGTGGCCCAAAATGTTAAAGCCAATGTTCAGGGCACTTCTCTACTTTGTGTGAGATTTCACTTGTGTCTTCCAGCTCAACATTTCTTACACTGCACTGCAGCCTCATGAAAATTGGGAACTGAATCTTGTAACATTATTCCTTCAGACTTCCTGCTTTTTGACATTTTAAGTGACCGTTTGGATTGACGCATTTTCTGTCCAATGATTCTAGGTGGTCTTGGAAATGATTGGCTGGGGTTTTGAGTCCTGCCCGTTCCACAGATAATTAAATTGGTTAATTTTCATTTCAGTGCTTCTAACTCAGTAGCTGTAGTTAGGAACAGAATTTCAAGTGATTGAAAAGATGGTTAAAAAAGAAAAAAAAAATTACATACCCCACCTTTAATTGAATGTGTTTTCATTTATTTGGCCAAAAATGTTACCAACCCATATGTTTTTCTATACAACTCATCTGCTGTGTGAGATTAATTTCTTTTAAAGAAGTAATTAATACTTTCATTCAGCAAGTATGCATTTTTTAGCAAGTATCACAACCTTTGAACAGTACTGTGCCATCATCTTTTAAATCAAGCAAGATTTAAAACAAGCAGTGGGATGGTTCAACAATTACCTATCAGGGAGAACACAATGTGTGCAAGTAGACTCTGCCTCCTTAAATATTTCAAAAGGGGTGCCTCAAGGTTCAATCCTTGGGCCTCTTCTTTTAATCATTCATACAAACAACCTCTATAATAATATAAAATTACAAACTATCATTACTATGCTGATGACACTTTACTCTATTGTTCTGCGTCCACATTAGGTCAAGCAGTCACAAATTTACAATACGCTTTTAACATCTTACAATATAATCTGGCTAATTTAAAATTGGTTCTAAACTCAAAAAAAAAAAAAAAACTCACTCTTTCACTCTGGGAAAGTCAACTAAAAATATGTCCCAAACATTTGTACATTTTCTGGCACAGAAATCGAAGTGTCACATTATAAATACTTGGGCATTACTACTAACCAATCCCTGTCTTTTACATTGCATGTCCAATATTTGGTTAAAAACTGAGATTGAATTGAGTTTTTTTTTTTCTTTAGAATCAAGTCCTGTTTATCTTTTGAAGCAAAAAAACAACTTGTCTGTCTTGGACTATGGTGATATTTTATACATGCATTCAAGCTCCCAGTGTCTTCATGCTTTGGACACTGTTTCATGGAGCCTTGAGATTCATCACAAACTTAAAATCTCTCACTCATCACTCTTTGCTGTATTCTCGGGTCGGGTGGTTCTCCCTCACCATTCGGTGTTGGATAAACTGGCATCTTTTTATTTATAAGGCAGTATTAGGATGACTTCCTCCTAATCTGAACACTTACATCCTTCCGAGGTCTGCAGGGACATATCACCTGCGCTCTCAGAATCTGTTTTTATTGACAGTCCCTAAAACCCACACTGTTTTTGGCAAAAAGGCGTTTAATTGCGCAGCAGCATCTGCATGGAATCAGATTCAGAATGAACTACAGTTGAAGGAGTTGGTCTCACTTTATTCTTTTAAATGTGTTTTAAAGGACCTTGCAGAAAGGCAGTCTGTCTGTCATTGCTGTTAAATTGATTTAGGACTGTACCCAGGTTTTTTATGATGACATTGTTGTTTGAATATGAGTTAAAGTGTGTCTATGTATTTACCTGTAAGTGTTTTATCTATTTGGAATCATGTTGCTGCCACTTGCCAGGACAACTCTTGTAAAGTTTTTTTTTATTTTTTTGTTATCCTGATTAAATAAAGGTTTGAATTAAAACAGATCTCCTCAGTTTTATTATCAAGAAATGATAGAGGGTTCAGCACTTTTCCCCAGATGAAAGTATGTCAAACGGGTTTTAAAAGGTATGAGATAGTAGTTCAGTAAATTATCTATTTTCTCCTAGTCGCCTGATTTGATGTGGAGCATGTTCAAGGTTAACAGAAGACTAGAGACTAACTTTGGACACCTCGCGATAACACTACGATCTGATAGTCTTTATGTGATACAGTCATGCTGATGTGTACTTAAAATGGGTAAAAGATCAATGCAACCTGAGAATGAACTCTTCTCTTTAGAGATTGACTCACTTAAGCTAAGTTCACACTGTCAGTCCAAATCAGATTTTTGTGCATATCCGAAATCTGTTTTGAGCTCGTTCATATGTGGTTTGAAATCCTATTTGGAAATCAGTTTCAGTCCGACTGGTTTATGTGACTTTCTCAAGCCACGAAAAATTAAAACATCAGACGTTGTAATAGGAAACATGCTGATAGTCCCTGCAGAAACAAGGTTGTGTTTTTGCAAAGTGTAGGACGAGCAGAAAATGAACATATAACAGAGACATGTTTGGAAACCAATGGAGATGACAGCATGGAATAAAGCAGCTCATACGAGATGCGTGGCGGCTACACATTGTCATGTTGTAAAAAAGACACCATCTCTATTGCAAACCCCTTCATGTTGTTTTGACATACCAACACAATGCCATGCCATTACCATAGAACCCAATGCAGATATTCCAGAAAACGAAAGAACGGCGATGGACACACAAATCAGAACTGTATATCTGTGATACGCAATGTGGACAATCAATGTTAGATCCAAATGGGATACAAAAATAATTAGATATGGACTGACAGTGTTAACATAGATCTGACAGATGTGTAGCTTGTTCGACCTGTCCATGCATACATGCTTCTCCATATACTGCAGGCCAAAAGACTCAAATTCTTTCTAGCAGAGACTCTCATTTGCACTTCTGCTCTAGCCCTTCCCTCTATCACTTTTGAAGTTAGAGGGCTGAATTGGCTCTGGAAAGATCTAAACTCTCCTTGAGACTTTCTTTCGTAATCCTTTTTACCAAAGCTCTCTGATCACAGGCTTTTCAGTCCAAAGCTGTCAAACAGCCCATCAGGGGCTCAACAATAAGGATTTTTCAAATTTGGCTTGGTTGGTCCTCTAGTTCAGAGCACACATCGGTTCTCCCGTAACCATATTTAATGAGTTCCATGTGTGTTGATCAATGTTTTTTTGTAAAAGACTTTTAAATCTGTTTATCATATAAATTGATCATGTCTCTTCGGAAGACTTCGATTAAACCGATCGATTCATCCGGGTTACAATGGGGTTTTTTTTTTACTTTTTAAAATGTCAAATTTCTGGCATGAACTTTCAGTGAAGGGACAGAGATTCCTCAGGTTTCATTAAAAATATTTTCATTTGTGTTTTTCGAAGATTAACAAAAGTCTTAAAAAAAGCAAGATTCTGGAAAAAAAAGTGAGATATGATGCAACAGCCAAAGATGTCAATCTGCATGTCCAACAAAAACAGAAAAAGTTGATATATCCAATGATTAATTAACATACTTTTTCTGAAAACCGTCAGTGCAAAACATGACTGATTTGTTGATAATATAACTTGTAACTATTGTTTCCAAGTTACTCTAGTCATTTTGAAATAATCTCATTAGATGTTAGTTATTTGAACAACTTTTTACTTGGCATACAGAACAATTTGCAACAATGTTGAGTTTGGTGCAAATATCTCGTTCAGTTGACGAGTTATAGGCGATTTAATCGAAGGGGTTCCTCCCACTTGGGACGTTTTTGCGGCCCTTAGGGACCGTGAACCCAAATTTCAACTTTTTTTTGGATAATTATTGACATTCGTTCTCCATAGAATCTTGCCGCATTGGTTTGGTTCCGGCCTAAAAAAAATTTCGACATAAGATATAGTTGGTTAATCGCTGAGCCCCAGTTAACAGACTTCACTGGCTTGAACTTTGAACACAATATTCACACAGTACACAATCTAAACTTTCTTGAGCGTGCAGGTTTCCATAAAGATGATTCAGCCACCTTCGTTGTGAGCACAGAATTAAAATAACAAGGTTCCCATCACCTAGGCAACCAGTATCTGCTTTCTAAATCTGTCCGCTCTCACCAACAGCTTTAAACAAATAAAGAAAGACATAATTTATTAAAATAACAGGTGTGTGAAGTTAGTCATTGTTACTGCATGCGAAACCTGCAAGAACTGATGACTAATACACAGTATGTTGATCTTGATGACTAAAGCAAAGCTTATGTTTTGAGCTGTCTACACATCAAAATGTAAACGGATCCCCACCGGCTCATACAAGCCCAAGGGAAGCAATTATCCGATCAGATATCTTTTGTGAGAAAAGCATGGAAAACAGATGAGCTTTCGAAGATCAGAGGATACCGAGTCAGCAGTGATGACTCACTGATTTGCTTCGTTTCAGGGGCTCTACTGACAGGAGAGGGTTGCAAAGACTGAAGCAGCATATATTAGGCTTCTTCTTGAACTGTTACCAAAACCTTAGTCACGAAGCTGCTGGAAAGTTCCACAACCTCCAAAAAACTGAGAAGAGTGCAAATTATAGCGCACAGCTGAATGTGCCTGAACAACATAAAAAATTTTAAGATGCTAAAACAACAATCATGCTAACTTACTAGTGCAGCTATCTAACATGGTCATAGATTCGAAAGGGATAGTTCATCCAAAAATGAAGACTGTCATCATTTACTTACCTTCATGTTGTTCCAAAACCTATGACTGTCATTTTAGGTAGACAGAGTGATCAAATTTGATGAAAACATTACTCACCAGGACAGAGTGCATGCCCATATAAATCCTGCTGATGCACACGAGGACACTCCAGAACAGAGCTAAGCTCAATCCAATCATGAACGGGTACTGTTGAACACACAGAGAGGAAAGACTTTTGAGGAAACGGCAGTTCAAAAGACAGTAAGGTCATTTCATTCATTCATGGGGGGGTTTACAGGGCCAGATTTTCCTCATATTGTGACATAGGCAAAATACATTTTTTGACAACAGCTCACTTAATACGATTTTATGTTGAAATGTCTTGTTTTTCGTGTTAACTATTGACTGAGAACAATAAAAAAAACAATAAAACTGCAACAAAAATAGACTGTTAAAAACAACTTCTACTCTGCTCCTGCTAGGTGCCGCCACACCGCCTCGCTGTGCAGTTTGAATGCTCTAATCCTGTTTTTATGAGTGCCGAAAAAAATACTCTCTGCTTAGTAAAGGACTAAAGGCTTATAACTGAACAATACCTATGATGATCACTGACAAATAAAGCAACAGTATCAGGACAGAGTAGGGCAAAGTTCCTAGGATTGAGACCATGCGCAGTTGGAAGAGAAGTGGATTGAAGCAGCTGCTGATCTGCAGAAATGCTCGATTTCTCATTAATCAGACAACAGATCTATTCATTTTTGGCATTCGGCTAAACCTTCTTTCTGTGCTCATTTATGCACCATTCGTCTGGGCAATATACCAGTACCTCCCAGAAATCCATCAACATTGACTACCCTGTGCATATGTTAAAAATTTGGACTGACTTGACCTCACTGGCTCTCATCTGCAACTTCCCGGAAAAAAAAAAAAAACAGTTTAAAGAGGTCCTATTATGGTCTTTTACAAAGTTTTGATTTTGTTTTGGGGGTAGAATATGCTTTCACGCTCGATTGTTCAAAAAACAAATTATTTTTCACATATTTATTTTATTACAGTTCCACTCTCTCCCCAGTCTGGCCCAAACCCGTCGTTAGTTCATGTTTTGAGAAGCCCCTCCTTCCGAAATACAAAATGTGCTGTGATTGTTAAGCTGGCCTAGTTTGTTGTGATTGCCACTGTGTTCGGGAAATGTCACACCCCTTACCATAACCGCGAGTTTCATTTGCTCGGGTCAGGTGTAAATATTAAGATTGGCGTCAATTTCAAACCAATTCAAGCCTGACTAAGAATGTTAACAAACAAGAGGATCGTGCAGAACGGATTTCATGGACTTTGCAAGCATGGATTTCACAGGAGGACGTTTAAGAATGGTATTTTTAGTAATTTTCTTATTGTTGAAAAAACTATGGTAATACAAAGACTAGGCTAATCGATCACAAAAACTATGGTTAATTTTTCGGCAGTAAACAGTTTTACAAAAGCAAGAGCTTGCAAAAGCTACAGTAAACACTATCAACACTAATGTTGGCTAGAAGGCAAGCAAAGCCAAACAGCTTTGCCCTTTGTTTACATCATAACATAAAACTTATAATTGGAACTGTTAATAGAAAACACAACTGCAACTTTAATAATACTTAAAAAAAAAAAATTCCCACTAAGTTCATGGGTTTTGGGAAAAAAATAGTCTCTCTTTGACAGTGACTCTAATGAAGCTCAACCAGGCACTTTTTTTTGAATATTTGAATCAATCTTCTGCAAAAAAAATCAACAGGCAGGCACAATGGTGAAAGAAGAGGAAATATGTTTGAGGCTATTGTTCCGAGTTTCCTGCTAAATTTAACAGGATATGAAAGCAAGAAAATCTAAAGACTACTCTGTTTTGTGCTCAAAATGGTGGTTAAGACTTCAGCCCTCAGTACGTACAAGACATATTATCGGTCAGTTTCTGCTAATGTCAGAGGAAAAGCTGGGAAAAAAGGATGATCCTCCATAAAAATTCTAAAGGCTTTTTGCAGAACAATATCAACTAGCCTATATACTCTAGCACATATAGGCTAGATGTATCAAGAGAGTTATCATAAGCAATCGCACAACCTCTTCTGAATATATGCTAATTATTGTTGAATGTAATGATTTCTTTGACACCAACAAGCATATGATTCAATAAACCCAGCATAGAAATCCATATTTATGAATAGTACAGAGCACCGCATAGACCTTTAGTGGTTAAAGTAACAAAGCCTGCATATTTCGTAAAAAGATGGAGATTAATGTCCTGTCTGGAAATGCATTCACAGGGAACCTCGATTTGCCAGATGAGTCAGTTCTACAATAATATGCAAAAGTAAAAGAGTTTTCCACTGAATGCAATAGACTAAGAACAGACCACTTTTGTGATGTGTAAATCAATAACGTATGAACTTTGAAGACATTAGCATGCCATCCATCGTTCAGCTGCATGAACTTCCCAAAGCGTGGTCAAATGAACTGAATATAGAAAGCAAAAACAGTACTTTCCCTCAAGAGAAACTGCTTATTTCAGTGTTTTTGATCCTGCAAGATATAGCCAGTTTTAAAGTACAAAGCATTAAAAATAAAGGCCCGTTCACACCAAGAGCGATAAATATAGCTTTATGAGTCCAGACCAAAGAATGATGGTAAATGGAAATGGACAGCATTTATATAGCGCTTTCATAGACCCAATGGCCACCAAAGCTTTACATTTTGCCTCACATTCACTCATTCATACACCGACGGGGGTGTCAGCCATGCAAGGCGCCATCCAGCTCATCGGGAGCAGCTGGGGTCTTGCTCATGGACACCTCGACACTTGGTCAGGTGGAACCGGGGATTGAACCACCAACCTTTCGGTTTGTAGACAATCTACATGAACCGCTGTCATTGTTTTTATTGTTCTGCAGCTCGAAAAAAAAATTGTTCTAAAAGTGATTTAAGCTATATTGTTTCTCTTTGACTTCATTGTTGTGGTGTGGACTCTGCTTTTCTTTTATATTTATTGTTATTTATCGTTATCATCCTTGACGTGAACTGAGATTATGCCTTAGATTTTAAGCTTGTATAAAAATGACTCATTGAAACTAATGGTAACTTAAACATTTTAATAGCTCATTTAATCTAAGAGTGATGAGAGGCTGGGATCAAATGTATGGAGAAGTATGCATGTATAGAGACTGCAAAACCTTCAAAGGGTTTTGCCTCTGTCAAAGTTCTGCTGTTTCTATAAATGGCAATACATTGAATTACATATTTTTGGGATGAGACGATGTCGATTATAGGCCTAACTCTCTTGATGCTACATCAGCAGCTGAGGTATGAAGCGAGAACACATCCTTATTATCAGCCTCTTTTACTGAGACACTGACAACTTGCTAAAGGCAGGTTGTTTTGAGGACAGATGTTCAGAAAGAATATAGCAAACCTAAAAGTACAGCAAGTCTTTTTTAACATGTAGACCTATCTTGTATTTGTTTTCATTAACTAGCATATATTTTATTAATCAAATGTGCCAGAGGGCCATTGATGAAGGTTTTGTACAAGGCACGATAATTGCTAACTGTGGCTCTCCTAGAAAATTTTCCAATCGTTACAAGTATCTATATTTCATTGTACTAGAGCATCAGCTTATTAATTGTGCTAATTTTATAACTCATTTTGAACGGCCGTTGCCAGAAGCCAGTGATCATAGCTTAATTTTTAAATATGGATATATTTTTTTTAGTAAAACCCATCGCGTCACTTCAGAAGGTCTTTATTAACCCTGTCTTATGGATTATTTTTATGATGGATGCGCGTTTTGGAGCTTCAAAAACTCGGACACTACTCAATGCTATTTACAAAGCTGAGAAGAGCCAGGATGTTATCAATGTCTGGCTGAAAGAAGAAAGTCATATACAACTAGGATGGCTTGAGGGTGAGTAAATTATGGGATAATTTTCATTTTTAAGAGAACTATTATTTGTACAAACAATAACTAATGGGAGTGATGCATCATGCACAAAATGCACAAAAAAGTCCAAGACTAGGCTAATTGAAAACCTAATCAATCACTATAGAAATAATAAGTGACAATGCATATTACGTAAAATAAAAATAAATGCTAGTTGGTTAAGGAAAATTGTTAAAACAGATTGCCATAAACAGAAATAATCAACTTTCTACTTGCTTCAGGTGGGTACGATTATCGATTGATAATTGGTTTTGTGTGTGGAAGTATAGGCTTCTGTACCTCCCACCGGCTGCATGTGAGCATGAACAGAGAGAAAGGCAGCGCGGTGCCGGACATGGCATGTGTGGAGGGCATACTGTACTCCGTGTTGTAGAACACCTCAACTTTGACCACAGGAGGAGAGGGAGGACGGGTCCACCGGACCAGATCTTTCGTGGACTGGCCGAAGAACAGCACCCAGGCCCACACCACGATGAGCTGCCGGCTCACATAGGGGTCGACGTTCCACATCAAGAAGGGGAAGAACACGATGAAAAACATCTCATTGCCCAGCTCGGTACCAATGGTGAAGAGATAGAAGAGAAACTTGTTCTCGATGATGAACTCCTGCCCAACATCCCCAGTCAAAGAGTTTCTGCGTAAAGGCTTCACTCTGCCTTTGGGGTCCCTCTCTGCCTCTCGCCCCGAGGGTGCGTTGAGAAAAGCAGCGGAACATTCTTCCGGTTGAACATCTCCAGCGGCATTTAAACTTTTTCTCAGCCTTTGGCCCGGGAGTCCTTGTGCTGAATCCCCACTGGCCGCGCTGTCTTCCTGGTATTGCCCCACGCAAACACCGTTGACCGCAAGCTTCGCGTCACTCTCGCTAGCCTCGGTTGTTTTTTTAGGAAATGTGCCGCGGACGCCGCAAAACTGCTGGAATCTGGCGACATGGCAGGGATCCTGTAGGTATCGGCAAAGGCAAACGAATCTGTGGAGCGCCTCGCTTGCCATGGTGAAACCGAAAGGGCTCTTTTACCTGAATCAATATCACGCGCGCGCTGCGCGCGAGATGCTGTAAACACAAGCGCGTGCAAAGCTGCGCTAAACAATAGGAGATTATATTGTGCGGCGCGTAGCTTTCCAATCCTCGAGTCTTCAAACCACAACAGACATTGGTAAAATAGAGTGGCTATTTGACTAGGAGCTGGGAAGTACCCGTCCGTTATTAAACAGGGAGGTCGACACAGATGAGACTTGTAACGTAACGTTACGTAGTTGAAGGCGGGGACGCGCGCATATAATGACGTACAGTAGGTCCCGGTTATTTTCAATTACGGTCTGCAGAAAATATTTAATAACTAATAAATTATAACTATCATGAAACAGAATGATCCAAAAATGGGTGGCGCTCAACATTCAGGAAAGATGACTCCAAATTATAAATCTTCCTCAGTTATTCACTGTACATATTCAATGGATATTGCGTTTTTGGTGTAATTTTCAAATGTACATGATCTTACAGTACGCTTTTGAAGCAGCTCTTTTTAATGGCGTTTTCGCGTGGTATCTGTTACTTTTCTCCTCGCTGGGCAGGCTTCACCAATCACACTAAATTATTTTGTATTGGGATTGCTGGGATTCCTATTTGTACGAATGGCGGAAAAATACTCACTTAAATCATTCGTTTTTTGTTTTTTTTAAAAAGATGTCTCAAAGACAAAAACGTAATAAGATTTAATTGTGGCCTTTTAGATTTCGGCAGCAGTCAAGCGCCCCCTAACTATTTTTGTGACATCATTCTTGGCAATTTTTTAACCTGTGCAACTATGCATGTATAATTCACAAGCAACTTTTCAAAAAAGCAATTGAGAAACTGATGCATAAACAGAACAGGAATATAGCATAAACAAGAAAATTATTTCAACCTATAGGTCTTCTAAATAAGTAAAGAGGTTAATTTGGATAATGAAATAACTAAAGAAAATTAAGTTTGGATTGATCAATTATCTTAAGAATAGAAAGGGGGGGGGGGGTGTGCATGTCGATGATATGTGTAATGAATAGTTCTGCTGACACTGGTACAACTGCATCTCATGGGTTTAAATAGACAAAGAAAAGCACTACACAACACTGGATTTAGACCTTTGACACTGCCTTATGCCGATTACAACATATGACTGTGGAGCACACCAGACACAGAGGGAGCTTTGTGGTCAGATAAAAAGTTTCCCCTAAACTAATCGTTTTAACAAAATTACCCCTAAATTAATCAGATTTCATTCACCCTGTGGGACTATCATAGGTTACGTCTTGTAGCCACTGGAGGGGTGTCGATGCTTAAATTAAACATCTGGTGCAGTGACGTTTAACATTTCTCCACTAGAGGGAGGTTTTACACAGCTGTTGATTAACTGGCAGTGTTGAATGAAGAAGAAAAAGATTATAATATATATATATATATATATATATATATATATATATATATATAAAATTCACAATTTGGCCAAAGACTGTAACATGAAGAACATCAAGGCTTTCTAAGCAGGAGATTTGTAAGCTGAATCATACCAGAAATGCAATAAAAGGATGGGTTGATTTCTTTATTATATGAATTTATGTATATACAAATATGTAATTATATTTAACAAATACTAAACATAAGAAATAATGAAATGCTTTAAACTTCAAATTATAAAATAAAATACTGGATTGCATAATACAATAACTTTTCAATTTAACCTATAGAATCTGGGATGAAAAAAAAGTGCTGTTTTGTGCAATTTAACGGACACCCAATTAATGACTTGGTACAATATAGCCATTTTACCACTTGAATCTTGTCCGGTCTTTGCGTCTCACTAGAAGAGGAAAAACAAATACGTACACACACATACATATATACATAAAAATCAAGTATTATACAAGTTTAATGTCTCCCAGTAAAATTTATGGTTTATTGAAACTATACTTACATGCATTTTTGTCTTCCTCCATCACACTCAGAAGCCAGTCCTGTGTCTGTTCTGGCTCCCCTTTTTCAGACAAAATACATCATATCAGCACCAATATCTGACCCAAAATTTGTTTGTTTTTTTGTCTAAAAGAGGGCCTTAGCTTGTTCTGACCTGGTTTGCCAAAGTTTTGATAGGTTCTGGTCCTGAGGGATGGAGGTCTCCCTTTACCTTTACGACTAGACAGGGCTTGAGTTCCAGAGTCTGATGTTACCATCTCAACTTTTCTGTGGTGTCTTGATTTAGTTCCCTTTACACCATGTGCCAAAGCCATGTGAAAAGAGAAACAACCCATTTTCAGTCTAATTGAAACAAACATACAGTTGATTTTTATATATATATATATATATATATATATATATATATACATACATATAAGTGATCTCAAAGGGGCCGTGAAAATGCATTAGCAGATTTTTTTATAGTTTCTAGAGGTTAGCGTGTCCAAAAAAAACCCCAAAACATTAAAGTAATTGTAAAAACTGTCTTTTTCCATCCACATGTTCACTCTGTCACACTTGATGGACAGACAAGAGTTGTTAAGGTGATTGATTTATATACTCATGCTAGGCATGTAGAGGAAAATTGTGACTACCAATGGGGCAGTTTAAATTCCCGGTGTTTCGGCATGGAAAACAAAAACTCGTGACCCTTTTAAACTAAACAATAACCATTAATGATGTCAAGCAAAGCAGTATTTGTAGCAACAAGAAAATCTCAAACCTTTGACACCTGACCATATGATTTTGACTTGATGGTAGCCAGCAGATCAGCTCTACTGGAGGACTGCAGAAAACAATGGCACAATGTTTAATTTCCATACATCTTTTTGTATCCATATGAAAGGCGTCTTTACAATGTAAAGTTCTAAGCAGGGTTTAACTCACCTCTGATTTCTGAGTGGTTTCCTTTTTAGAGTCGGTATCCTTTGCAGCCTAAGTACAAATGTAATAATGCACACTAGACAGTTAGGCCTATATAAAATGAACAAAAAAAAAAGCTATTTTTAAAACCCAATTAAAAAAAATAATACATCAAGGACATTCAGAAATGAAAACTAGTCAATGCATAGTATTACAAGTCCACCAACTCACAGTGGTTTTGTCCTGCCACTGCTGGTACTCAGAAGTACATTTCCGAAGCAAATCTGTCAGGTTAAGCAGTGTCACTCCAGAGGATGTCGGCATTGATGATTTCTTCAGTCTCTCATAATGACCGTGCACGTTTGCAATTTCCTGCATATCATAAAATACTTCTTCATTAATTTCAAATAATCAGTTACTAATTATTTCAATCCTCCATTAGTTTCAAATGATCTCTACGACAAGAGAGATTACAAAAGTCAGAACTGTTTTAAACAAGAAATAAATATTACAATAAAAACATTTCACCATACTAAATACCCACTCCTAGCATTTCAAAGGAAGCAAGTTCAGCCACTCTGTCCTTGCGGGCCCGAAACTCTTCGTTCACATCATGCTGAACACGTTCGCTCGCTTCAAATGTCAGCTGTGAATCAGACACATTCAGAGTTTTCAGACACTGTTGGAAGATATATCCCAAAACACAATACCATAGGTAGAACCTGCTGACCTTCTTGGGCATGGCAGTGAAATAAAAGGCCTTAGCTGACAAAAGCCTTTTTAAGATGTAAACAACATCCAAATGCTGGCAACTTTTTGCCTCTGTGATAAACTTCTGCACATCGGTCCAGTCCTTCATAGCAATCCTGATCTGATTAAAACAAGCAGTGAATTAACTTTATGTTTCTCATATTCAGAAAAAAATTACAGGTTATGCTGAATCATTGAGCTTGATTAAAAAAAACAAGAGAATATAGACGGATCACCTTTTCCTTAGGCCAAACAAGTTGTGTATTGTAAAGGCCATAGATCATATACAGGCCTCCAACCCGAATTTGAAAACTGTATGGGGGCAGAAGGTATCTGTAGGCTATGGTGAAACAGAGCCGCGTGAAGGATCGGTTCTCAAGGTTGGAATAAGCTCCACTGGTGAGAGAGTGGAAGTAAAATACAAAAAGTGTAATTTATTCACTCTCATGTTGAAAGAATTAGCCTATTATATCTCTTTTTTCCCTTCAAAATTAAAAGATAGAGCAGACCGCCCTGGCTTATTGAAAGTGAATGGAAATGGACTTTGCAAAATGGACTCACCAACCTTTCATTCCAAACCTGTATGACTTTCTTCTGGGGAACATAAAATATATTTTTTTGAGAAATGTCTCAGTGTTTTAATGCCTCAGTGTTTCAGTGGTAACCACACATTTGGTTACCAACACTATTCAAAATATTTCCTTTTGTGTTCCACAGAAGAAAAATTAAAGTTATACAGATATTATGGTGTGTAAATATGACCATTTTCATTTTTGGGTGAAGTCTGTTACTCACACACAATCAGGTTATCTATGAAATGTGATACGTTAAATTCTCCTTTAGTTTTTTCTTCCAAAGACAACAAGTGGTGTTTGAACAACAGGAGTATGAGTGAATGGCAATTTTCATTGTTGGGTAAACCATTTAAGTGAGACAAAGATTTTAAAACACATAGTGCCTGTACGGATAAACTTTGGGGATTCAACAGCAGTGAATACATTTACAACCATTCAAGAGCAAGCCTGATTCGCGGATTTTGATAAGCAATATGCCAATTTAATTGTCTTTAAGACCACTGAACAATTAAGTCCAGTGCTGTAGATGTGTAACTTACAAAAAAACACTAGAGAAGTCCATCTCCCTCCAGATGGCAGAAAACTCCTCAAACCGAACCGTATCGGTCTGCTGGAATCGGCCTAGAAGCTCCTCGCAGTCGCTTTTGAAATGAGCCCCGTAGTGCTCGCTCTGCTTTTCTACAACCACACACTCACGTGAGAACCTAGCATTGATATCAAACAACCATATATGAAATCATATATAACGTTACAGTAACTTACTCTGCGCCATCACCTCACGTCCTCGAACTTTCCTGTTTCCAGAATGGTGGTTAGGTGAGTGCACCTGTGCGCGCGGTGATTTAACAACCAGGTGATCCTGTGTGGGACCGGGTGCGTTCTGTTAGGCCTAGCTTACGAATATGGTTCAAACCTGTAAAATATAATCAAAATATGTTCAAATGAATACACGTTGCTTGCAAGAAAAAAAGAGTGTTATTACATTCTCTCAGTGTTATTACCATAGACAAAATTCAAAGAATATGACTACCGCTTTGGCGCGCTTTAATGTAACGTGGCATCGCTG